GGGGAGCGAGGAGGAGGAGTTTAGACATCTGATGTTCCGTTCACTCCCAATAATCGCGAGACGTGGAAATCCAGACTTGAATGAAAACTCGTCAAACAACCAAGATCCAAGAACGCCAATTTGGGGATATACATTCCAGCCAGCACGGTACGTAGTCCTCTGCAAATATCGCGTGACCCCCACGACTGGACGCAACCAAACTCTAGGAACTTGCCCTAACAGCCACCTGTTCAAGACAATCACCTGTACAAAAGATCACCTCCCCACCCCCCTCGTTGCGTTCTTTAAAAAAAAATATTATTGCAACACTTTATTGGAAACAGAATATTAATCCACAGACAGGAAATAGAGGCTAAAACAACACCTGGACGTGGATGGCAGGTGCCTCTATAAATAAATTATTGATGGTCAAAGTCATTACAACACAGTCCAAGACGTCCACCTGTCTAAGACAACCATATTTCTTTTCGACAACGGGTGGCTGTCTTGGGACAATTTTGACTGCAATTCCATTCTAGTTTATTGTAGTTTTAGTAGGGGTTTTGCGGCGCTCGCAACTGCATAAGGTCATATGAATATGAGCGCCAGTAGATTAGAGGCGTTACAAGAGAGTAATAACAAACATAAAAAGAAGGAGAGATAAAGACGATAGATTTTTTTATAGGAAAGAAGAAGCAACCCACACCAGGGCACCCGTCAACCACCCACAATTCCATTCTAGTATAGATATTCAAGATATAGTTTTGAGTTTCTTTCACAAAGAAAAACACATCGACACAATAACAGTCATAGTGCAAGGTTTGAGTGTTTGTTCGTTTGCGTGAGTAAAGAGGAGCGCATCGACACGATAATGGTCATTTACTGATCCCTGAGAAAAAGTAAGACAGAATCAACAGAGGGGAAGTAAAGACATGGGACCTACCAGTGGCGCCTTCCAACCACACTACCCGCTCAAAGTACAAGGAAGAAGTTTTAGTTCTTGTACAGGTTTTATAGCGCTCGCAATAGCATAAGGTCAGATGAGCGCCAGAAGATTAGAGGTGTTACAAGAGAGTAACAAACAAAAGAAGGGGAGATAAGGACGACAGATGTTTGATAGGAAAGAAGAAGCAAACCACACCAGAGCACCCTCCAACCACCCACCAAGAAAGAAAACAGACAGAAACAACGGAGTAAGAGAAAAAAAGAAGTAGGACCTGGCAGTGGCGCCCTCCAACCACCCGCAACCCACCGTACGTCATCCACGCGCATTATCAACCGCTGACTGAGCCTATTAGTTCACAATGGTGTGTGGAGGGAGAGATAGTATGGTATGTGATTGCGTTTT